TTGTCTAAAGGGAGAAACTAATCTGAGACCCTGAGCTCGGCACTAAACCCTACCCATGGGGTGCTCCGAGGCCCCACCCGCCTAAGGAGACTTTGCCTGGGGGTGGAAATTGGGAGGGGACACACTTAATTCTCGCTCCGGTGCTACTTTCTGGTTTTGGCGATGCTGTGAGGTGAAAAAGAGAAGGGCTTTTTGCTCAAATTTTACCATGAAATGCAGCATACACCAGTAGATATGTAGCCCCAAAAGGAGGGGACTACTCTTCAAGGCAGCAGGTCCCCTCAGAATCTTCACTGGCTCCGTGAAAGATGCTGTGCCACTCAGTCCCTCCTTGGACACAGCCACCACAAAACAACCACTCTACCTTCACACCACATCTTGGGCCCCTGCACCCAGTCCTCAGGCCTGCTCACACTGGTCACTCGGCTTCATTCCGACAACTGGGGACTGTCTGAACATTGGATCCCAGCTCACTTGAAAATTGAGGAAACTGAGGCTCAGATGCCCTGCTCGGTTCCCCCTAGTACATTTGAAGGTGGCAGAACAGATGCCAAGCTCCTGACTGTGCCCTTTCTCCCAGCCTGTTCTGTACCTCCTCACAGCCTTGCTCCCTCCCTCCCTCAACTCTTGGGACAGTGACCTGGCTTATTCCCATTCCAGCACCTGCGGGAGTTTTAGAAGCTCCTGCTCCAGTGTAAACTGACCTTCAACCCGAGGAGCACTGGGCTTTATTTATTGAAACCACTTCTGCTGGCCTGGCTTGGGGGGAGGGGTCACGAGGAGGTCATAGCAGCAGAGATTCACAATGGAAGGTATTTGGAGCCCGGGAAGGCCAGTGGGATGAGAAAAGGAGGGATCCACTCAGCCGACTTCATCCTAGAAGGTTTTGGGAAGAAAATAACCTTGGACCAGGGTTGCAAGCGCCTGTTTTGAACCGCCAAGGCGCGGCGGCTGGCCTGGGCTTCGGAGGCTCGCTGGGCTGCCAACGGCGGTCCTGCGCTCAGTTGCGGGAAGAGCGCGCAGGCAAAGAGCGGATGGAGTCCGCACCCTGAGCGGGATGGGACACCGAGGACCCCAGATGCAGCTGGGAGATCAGTCAGCCCAGTATCTCCCTGGTGACGATGTATTTGCTGCAAGAGAAGACAGGTGTGCTTCCTCCCGCCAGTGACTCCCCCACGTCTGTTTTCATGGCAAATACAACTTCGCGGGAAGTTGACAGGCGAGGTCTCTAGTTAATACCTTGTAACAACTCAACGGGTTCTGAGAGGGCTTGGGAGTCCTTTAATAAAATCATTACACTACACGGGGAAGCGTGGGGAAGAAATACTCTGTATCCTTCAGGCCATTAAGGTTAATGCCCAGTCATTTCGGACGCTCTGGCACCACCAGGCCGGCTAAGCTGCCCACACCTTGGAGAATCATACCTGTAGCTCGGGCAGTAAACTGGGCCACATTGGCACCCCTGTGACGCCCACCCCCTCCGGTCCCCCAGCTCTGGACAGGGATGCAGTGCGCTGCCCCCAGGTAGCCGGGAGAGTACAGCTTTCAAGGTTTGCCTTTGACTGCGTGGGCTCGGCTTCCTTGTTTGCCAATTTACACAATAGGCATTTCCTTTCTAGAGCTGAATGAAGCACTTCACTGATATTCCAGAGAGTTGATGGGGGTTCTTTAACTTTTGATCAATACCTACCATTGAAAGGCAAGTCTGTTGCCATCTCACAAGTGGGAAAAGTGAAACATTTGCCTTAGGGCACACGGTTTTGCCTGACCTAGCTGAGCAAAGCATGGCTGCTGATGCTGCCCGGGGCTCAGGGCATGTTCACTTTGAACAAATTACCCTGATGATTTCAGCTAATAAAAACAGGCCTCGATGAAGGGGAGTGGGGGTACCAAGTCCGGTCTGCTGGGTGGTCCCAGGGATCTAAAATTCTTTCTGTTCTACCAGATGCATCCATCCATCTATCTGTTTATTAATTCATCCATCCCTCAGTTAATTCCTTCCACGGGCCCTTTGTTTTCCAACGGACTGAGAGGAGGCCCTTACTTGGCAGTGGAGATGATTTCTAGACTAGGGCAACCTCTTCTGCCAACTCCAGACTGGGCAGTGCATGGGCTGAGTTAGTTGATCGATTGATTCAACAATCTTTAGGAAATGTCTACTGTGCTCCAGGTGGCAGTGGGAGGGGTCAGGCTCCCTGTCCTTGCAGAGCTGTTGGTTGTAAAGAAGAGGACAAACTCCCCAAACTCAGTGACCCTAAATAGAGTTTCTAACTCATAGCGACCCTATTTGGGTTTCCCAGACTGTATAATTTGTACAGGAGCAGCGGCTTCAGCTTTCTCCTGCAGAGTGATTAATGGCTTTGAACTGCAGTCCTTGTATTGCTGCTATCAGTTGCTACTTGGGAGAGACAGAGAAGGAAAAAGAAAGAAAAGGAGTTTGCTGTTGGGGGAGATAAGAGCCTGGCAGACATCTAGAGCAAGATGTGGGTAGTTTTAGAGAGGGCAAGACTAGATGGCTGGGGGAGTTGGCAAATGCCATGAACCAGGAGGCTGTGTGCAGGACTTGCCACCACAGGTAAAACCTGATGACGGCAGCTGACATAAACCACACCATTTCCTTACTGTGATCTATTTATAGTTGGCGGCGGAAAAGAAGTATTCAGAATATAGTCTAAGTCCCTGCAAATCTAGTATCCCTGCAAGGTAATGTTGCCAAGAAAGCCTGCCTGTTCATATTGTTTCTGTTTAGAAGAAACTTGCAGCAATGTGAACTAAACACCGGTTTTACCCTGTGGCCCAAGGGACAAAGAAAAGCAAACTGCAAACAAACGCACCGTTTTTTTTAAAACCAAACCTCCCCAATTTCAGCTCAGAAAAAGCTGCAAAAAGCTCCAGAAGCAGCCACACACCAGGACTCTCGAATCGAATTTTAATTTTCAATGAACAGTGATTCCCCAGCCACCTCAACAACTTAGTTTTTTAATTGGTTCAAGAAAACTTTTTTTAATGAAGGTGTAGTGGTGAATCAGGAAGTTAATGCAACGACAAAATACTGAATGGAATGCCTTTGGTTTATTTTTTTTCCAAGTGAGGGATAATTTGTAAGATTGTTACAAAAGCATCTATTATATTGAGTTGTATAAAGTTGAGGGCAATCACATTTGAATAGCCAAAGTCAACCGCTAGAGACTGTGAAGGTGCGGAAACTCCTGGGTTGGTGGGGGTGGAGAGGGAGTGAAGGGGCAGGAAGGGCGAGGCTAACTACTCGGCAAGTGGTCAGCAAAAAAACCGGTGTCCGCTACCAGTCTCAGATGTAAGGGGTGACATTCGTTGAGTTTTCCAAAGTCGTCGGCTTCCTCCACAGAGAGCCATTAGCCTGTAGTGGGACCCAGACACAGACCTGCCCTGGCCCAGCCTTTCAGCATCCCAGTTCCTGCACGCGGGAGCAGCCAGTAGAAAGAGCTAGATTTCAAGGTGCCCTGCCCAATCAGTGGCACACAGTAGGGCCTCGGCCACTCGTCCTTTTTTTTCTGTTCTGACTTGGATCAAAGAGATGTCAGGGTTGTCACGGTTTTCCCTAATTTTCCCTTTTTATGTATGAAGCATGCATTTTTAAGTGCCTGCCCAAGGCCAGCAATCTAGCGGTTTTCAGGCAGGAGGAAATAGCTGGAGGACAGTATGGGCACAGCCTGAAGGGAGACGACTCTCTTGGGAAGTGCGGAGAAGTGTGGAGAGTCCAGCGGGGATTGGACGTGTCCCGTGTCCTCGAGCTGGTGAATAAAACATCCAGGAACTCGGAGGACACACCAGCCGGCAGCAAGGTGCACGAAGCTCGGGACCCAGACTTGGGGAGAAAGGACAGCGGCACCCGCGCCCTGGCTCTGGGGAGGACTCCTGGTCTGCTCAAGAACCTACTCCATCTTTCCAAGGCTGGTGATTACCCAGCAGGGGGATCGCCGTTCCCAGCCTTGCTCATTTGAATACATGAAAATACGAGTTGATTTTGGCAAGGTACCCTTTGCTCTCGGCCAGAGAAACGGTTTTGTCGCCGCGGGCGAGGTCGGGTGGGGCACAGCTCCGGCTTTAGTATCCGGCAGCTGGAGAGCCAAGCCGGCCTCCCGGACCCCGCAGAAACCCGGCAGCGGCTCTAGCGACAGTGGAAGAATGACGAACCCAGGGGCAACGAATGGAGGTTTCATATATATATTTTTTTCTTCCTGTCAAGCAAGCGAAAACCCTAAGTGGGTATGAGAAGGGCACCCTACCCCTCCACCCACCTACCCACCAAGAGCGTGGTTGGAACCACAGGCTCTGCACTAAGCTCACTAGGTGGTTCTGGGCCCCAGGGGTCTGACGCCTGATGAGTTGTGCATTAAAACTCGCTAATTAGCTTTCTGGTTAATAATGCCAGAAAGGGGGAGAGAAAGAAAGGTAGAAGGGACAAAAGAAAGGGAGAGGAAAGAGGAGGAACGGTTGACAAAAAGACCGAGGAGGAATGCTGGCTCAGCAAGACCTCCAGGTCTCCTCTG